TCTGAGTAGCTGGGACTACAGGTATGCATGACCACACTTGGCTAATTTTTTGTATTTTTAGTAGAGATGGAGTCTCACTGTGTTGCTCAGGCCGGTCTTCAACTTCTGAGCAAAAGTGATCCTCCCACCTTGGCCTCCCAAAGGGCTGGGATGACAGGTGTAAGTTGCTGAGTCCAGCTTACAGTTACATTTTTAACATACAAATAAGCTGCAGTTCAAATTTGATAGATACAGGGGAGGTTTGTTCTAGGAAGTGGTAAAGCTGGTCACAATTTAGTAAAAGTGACTGAATTAATAGCCATTTGAACAGTAGCTTAGTGTCTTTTGAAAACAGTCTAGTTGATTCCCCTATGTAAGTAACTCTGTGGGATGAGGGCTCTTTTAAAAATGTTTAAGCCACAAGATATATGAGAAGGTTTTAAAAATCTGGTGCCAAGTATAAAAATGCTACTGACAAAGTCTCTGAGATCCAGTGATAGAGTCATAATGACCTCTGTTTAATATACATAAAGAATTAGGGATTAAAAGCCACTTTGTGAGGAAAGCTGTATCTATATTGGCCATTAATAAGTTAAAGCGATTTCTAGCATAATTGCTATGCTAAAGAATTTGTGGCCAGTTCTAATAGCATTGCTAGTGAAAAAATGTACTGTTATCACAAACTAGAGATATGTTTCAAGCATGGGAATTAATTGTAATTACAACATGTAGTTTAAATGTTAAGTTAAAACCAGCCCTTCAACTTTAGTCCAAACTTAGTTTGTTAATTAATTAATGAATTATAAGGGAGGATTTTCTGACTTGGCTAATTAATTGAATAGTTATATGATTGAAAGTTACAGTTTTCATATCTGAGAATAGAATTGCTTCAGTGCTAAGGAGGTATAGCAGTGTTTTTACTAGGCATATTATTAGTCATAACTTTTGTAGATATTCCATTGAATAAAAGTATCTGTGAACGTTGTTCCCCAGCCATCACTGCTGCTTGCCTCTCTGTCTGCTTTCTCATTCTCATTCTTTGCCACAAATGATGGCGGCCAGGTTGTTTGAATTACTAGAGTTATTCTCTTAAGAGAAAAGGGGTGGTATGTGTGTTTATGTATGTTGGAGGGTATGTTGGATAGACATATAAGACCGGCAGTCTTAGCCTAAAGCAAAAGTGGGTATAAAGTTGCTATTTTTGGTTCTGGTTTCTTCTTTCTGCATCTTGCCCTATTCCCAACCATTACCTGTCTAGCTCCCATTCAAGAAGAGCTTCAGCATTAAGTATTATCAATTTTCATATACCTGTTGGTATACGAGCCAATCTTAAAGACCCCTTGGAGTCTGTGTGCATAGTGGAGATGGCAATATTTTCATATCTTTCCCGAGGTGTGAAGTGCCAGCAGTGGTGAATAAGCACTACCAGGTCCTTTTGGAAATTTTTGTTGAGAAAGCCATAAAAGAGAGGGTTTATACATGTGGAAACCATAGCAACCAAGTGGCAAACTGCAAATACTAGGTCGTGGTGGCAGCTCATCAGCACCTCATGATACCAGTCAAAGATGACATTGAAGATATTCAGGGGCAGCCAGCAGGCTCCAAAGGTCACCACGATGGAAATCAACATTGTGTTGATCCTCTTGTTCTCATTGAGCCGGCTCTCATTTTCCCTCTTCTTGTCTATCTTCGCATTTCTCCTGCGCAGGCAGATAACAATCTTCAAGTAGCAGATGAAGATGAAGGCTAGAGGAACAAAATACTGCAGCAGAAAAAGGGAGGTGGTGAAGAGCAGCCGGTCCTTTTTGGAGGGCCAGTTCTCCACACAGGCCACCTGGTGGGTGTAGAGGTCAGTGGGGAGAGAGAGGTTGCGGAAGGGCTCATCAGTGAGGTGGTAGGACAGGAAGAAGGGAATAGACAGCAGAAGGGAAAACAGCCAAATCAGTGTGATGCTCCAGTAGGCATGAGTCACACTGGGCTTCCAGCCACGGGGGTTCACAATTAGCTGATATCTTTCGACAGCAATGAGTACAAGTGAGAATATGGACACAGAGATTGAGACACTCTGCACATAGGATGTGAGTTTGCACATGGTATCCCCAAATATCTAGTGGTCCATCAGAGTGTAGATGATAGTAAAAGGGATGCACATGACACACACCAAGATATCAGAGAGGGAGAGATTGATAATCAGTATGCTGGTGAAATTCTGAGCTTTTCTGTGCTTCTTAAAGATGATGATGATGAGAGAGAGGTTTCCAAAAAGGCCCCCAATTAAGACCACAGTATAGGCTATAAGTAATAGGAGTAAAGCTGGAGAAGGGGGTTGACAGGACTCAAAGTAAAAAAATGCTGAGTTGTTCTTTGTGCTGGTTGTATTAGATGCTGGGTGCTTTAGGGAAACTTCCATTATGTCAGGATTGTAAGAAGAGATTTTATAAGCTTATTTGTCTTGTGGGTGGATATTTTGACCATTAGTTCTTGGAAGGCACTTTGTTCTGAGGCATCTGATGAGAAATTAGTAGGGTTTAATCTTCCCTGATCTGTATCTGTATTTGATGGAAACACGTGAATGACTTCAGCATGCTCTTGAGACCCTAAAAAAATGAAACAGAACCCAGAATATTAATGCAAGTTCTTAATATGGATAATTCTCTAGGGGTAGCAAAGCCCCTGAGAGGACAGAGAACAAATATCTAGGGAATCTCTCTGTACCTTTACTCTCCTCTCATCTCATCTCAGGTGCTTTCTTTGTCCCGCTAGTTTAGTCTTTAGAGCTCGTGAGGCAAGGAATGTAACAGCATCTTGTTAACTATAGAAGCAGCCAAATGTGTTTCTATCCCTATCAACTTCTGTTTTTCTTTTTTTTCTTTTTCGACACAGTGTCTTGCTCCGTCACCCAGGCTGGAGTGCAGTGGTGTGATCTCTGCTCACTGCAACCTCCACCTCCCAGGTTCAAGCGATTCTCCTGCCTCAGCCTCCCGAGGCAGGAGATGGGGACTACAGGAGACTGGGACTACAGGTGCGTGCCACTATGCCCAGCTAATGTTTTGTATCTTTAGTAGAGACAGGGTTTCACCATGTTAGCCAGGATGGTCTCGATCTCCTGACCTCGTGATCTGCCCACCTCGGCCTCCAAAGTACTGGGATTACAGGCGTGAGCCACCGCACCTGGCCAACTTCTATATTTTTTTAGGGTCACCTGACTGTGCACCCACTTGCTTCAATGGACTATAAAAAGTCAGGAGGATAGGGATTGTGTTGTGGAGGCCTGAGTACTGTGTTTGAAGTTGGATTCTGTTATGGTTTGTTTGAATGTTTGTGTTCCCTCCAAAATTCATGTTGAAACTTAATCCCCAGTGCAGCAGTATTAAGAGGTAGGGCCTTTAGGAGGTGACTAGGCCGTGAGGGCTCTGCCCTCATGAATGGATTAGGAGGCCCTAAGTGAGTTCGCCTCTTCTGTCCCTTCTGCCATGTGAGGACACAGCAACAAGGTGCCATTCTGGAAGAGAAGAGCCCTCACCAGACACTGAACCTGTTGGCACCTTGATCTTGGACTTCCTAGCCTCCAAAACTGTGAGAAATAAATTTCTATTGTTTATAACTCTGTGATATTTTGTCTGTGTTATTTTGTTAAAGCATCACACATGGACTAAGACAGGTTCCAGTTGGAGCGTCACTTCTTGGTATCTGTCTGAATTTGATGTAGGTCAGTTACCCTTCCTCCTCAGTTTTCTTATCTGTAAAACAGGGATAGATAATATCTATCTATCTGAGTAGTTGTGAAGATTAAGTGAGAACACACATCTGAATTTGTCCCTCAGCCCCAACATAGAGCACATAGTAGGTACTCAGTATATGTATGTTGAATAAAATTTGTCAGCTCTACTGCCCAGAGACAGTCTACAGCCTTTAGTTTGGGAGCCAGAATTACAGAACATGTCTGCTATGGAACAGCATATGCCTTCTCTTCTTTTCACTTCTTCCACTCTCTGGGATTGAAGCCATAGGCAGTTTCTGGGTACATTGCTCAGATTTTGGAGATCAAGGCAAGGAAGGCAGCCAGTGTCTAGTGAGCTATTACCCAGAATTAACTTCATTTAAAAAGCATTCCTCCAGTTCTTCCTTCCTGCAGATCCCTTCTTCTAACTTCCAGAGGAAAAGCAGGCTCTGATTCTATGGCTCAGCATAGTTTAGGGTGGTTATATTCAGTAGAATTATTCATACCACGATGTACAACAGGCTTGAAGGATTCCTTGCCGTTCAAAGTGCTGGGATTTCTGACCCAAAGAGAAAACTTGGAAAGACAGCAAAGGGGGAAAAAAACCTCATCTTGGTTTATTCTTTAGGAGTTTGAGGAAAAAAACATAAATAACGTCGATAAAGGGAACTGAGCAATAGGAATGAAAGGGAATGCAATTTTGTTTGCTATTTGAAATTATGATGGCCTGTTCTCACATTCCCTCTGAGATCTAAGGCTTAACAGTTTCTTATTGGAAAGAAATCACCTTAAGAATACTTAGGTCTGTCATGGTTTCAACAATGAAAAACACAATGAGGAACAGCATAAAAATACCACAGATTAACTGGGCATGGTGGTGTGCACCTGTAGTCCTAGCTACTTGGGAGGCCGAGGAGGGAGGATCCAAGGAACTGATCTGTGGCTCAGATGTGTTAAAAGAAAAACTTCAGCTGAATTAAATTTGAAGGAGTTTAACTGAGCAATGAACGATTTGTGAATTGGGCAGCCCCCAGAATCACAGCAGATTCAGAGAGACTCCAGGGATGCCTTGTGGTCAGAACAAACTTACAGATAAAAAAAAAGGGAAATGATGTCCAGAAATTGGAGGTGAGGTACAGAAACAGCTGGATTGGTTACAGGTTGACGTTTACCTTCTTTGAACACAGTTTGAATGCTTAGCAGTCTATGAGTGGTTGAAGTATGACCGCTGGGACTGGCCAAAACTCAGCTATTGTTACAGGCGCATACTCCTAAGTTAGGTTTTCAATCTTGTCTGCCTATTAAGCTAGGTTACAGTTCATCCACAGGGACTCAAATGCAGAAGTACGGAGTCCTTCTCAAGCTATATTTAGTTTGCTTTAACAGACACTATGTGGTAATATGTGAAATAGCAAAATTTACAAATAATGGTATTCAAAAGGAAAGTTTAAGGCCTGGATGACTCATGAGACCCAGAGTTCACAGACATTGACCGAAGGAGAATTTCAAGTCAAATTTAAGCTCTCTATACAGTTGATAGATTAGAACTATACATGAGAGATAGAAAGCTTTGATTTCTAATTAGAGGCCTCCTGCCAAGCAAGCCTCACTTGAAGGAGGATAGGAATGAAAGGAAATAGGCATGAACTGCATATGTAGTTTGGTAAACTAGAATGAGCACTAGATTTCGTGTCAGGAGACGTGTCCTGTTGTTTACTAGCCATTTGATCTTGGGCAAGGCACTCTCCTCTTGGCCTCAATTTCTTTATCTGTCCAATGAAATAAAAAATAGCCTCCCTACTTCATACCTTGTTATAAAGGCCAATGAAATAATATATTTAAAACATTTTGAGAGGATTGAAAAATGACCTATCGGGTAGTATGCTTGTTACCTGGGTGATGAAATAATCCATACACCAAACCCTCATGACATGCAATTTACTTTTTTTTTGTTGTTTGTTTTTTGTTTTTGAGACGGAGTCTTGCTCTGTCACCAGGCTGGAGTACAGTGGCATAATCTTGGCTCACTGCAACCTCTGCCTCCTGGGTTCAAGTGATTCCCCTGCCTCAGCCTCCCAAGTAGCTGGGACTACAGGCACGCACCACCACGCCCAGCTAATTTTTTTTTGTATTTTAGTAGAGACAGGGGTTTCACCATGTTGGCCAGGATGGTCTCCATCTCCTGACCTTGTGATCTGCCCACCTTGGCCTCCCAAAGTGCTGAGATTATAGGCGTGAGCCACTGCACGTGACCAACATGCAGTTTACCTATATAACAAACTGCACATGTGCCCCTGAACGTGAAAGTTTTTTAAAAATTAAAAAAATTGTATAAACTGTTAAATCCTGTTCAAACCCAAGTGCTCATTATCGTTGTTGTTATTCTTGTTGAATGTCTCAGACCCGTGGACTGAACTGATCCAACCCACATCCTCCAAAGAGCTATAAGTGCTTTCATATCTGCTATGCTGTTTATTTCTCCATCACCAGTTGTGTTAGGGAGGAGTGGGATTGTTATAGTTCCATTTCATAGAGGGAAAAACCAAAGTACACAAAAGTCCAAGGAGTTAGCTAAAACCAAACAAACCCAGCAAAGTCTTGTGTTTTTTTCTTCCAACTCTTATTATCTACAAGAAAGAAAAGCTTCCTATGAATCTTGCAGGTTTTCTCTTTACAGATATGAAAACTCATATAATTTTGCAGGGTTCCTAGCAGATAGAGATGAGAATAAACATCAGGAGCCCTTGTGTTGCCTATTCTTGTCAATCTGGGCTGACTTCATAGTGAATGGGGATTATCTCAGCTTGGAGCTCAGAAAAGCCTGTAGGTCTGAAGGGCCTCATCTTAGGAGGGAATCAAAGGAGAGTGCTGGAGTTACATTATCCAGCACCCTCTACACCATACAGAGAAGATTAAATAGGAAAATGCCCAAATACAGACTTTAAATGGCAATGCGGGATTTACACTTTACATACTTGGTAACTATTAAGTTAAAATATTTAAATCCTGCCTATCTGGAAGCAGAATACTAAGCCCTGGTTCATAAAAAAATTCTTGGGATACATTTCTATTTTAGGAGAGTTCATCTTTGGCTTGTTTGGTTGGAATTGACCCATGGAAGGGAGATCTCAAATTATCAAGCGACATTTTGCTAAAAAATATTAGTAGCATATGGCAGCAATTAATCCTAAACCTTCAACTTGATTGTATCTAGCTCATGAGGCACCTGCTTTGAACTAATTCAGTTTATGCCTTTTAATGTAAAAGTACAACATTATGTTAATTTTTTTGGGTAGTTTTGTGTTTAAAGTTTTAAGATGAACAAAATAAGAGCATAATTCCACCAAAGTTTTTATGTGCGTATTTATTTCTGCATCTGAGTGTCATTTTGTTAGTGTGTATCTTTCTTCTGTCTCTTTATTCATATAATTCTTTTTTTGAGGGGGAGGGAACTGGGGGTAGAGTTTGTGTGTGTCTGCCTTTTGGTCTGTTTTTTTCATTATCATTTATTCTCTTCCTCTCTTTCTGTCCATCTGTTTTATTCTCTACTCTTGTTTTCCCCCTTTCCCTTAATTGTCCATAGCATAGAAAAATTGTATTTTACATTATTTGTTCTATTTCATTTGGGGCTATGGTGCTTTGATCTGAAAGAGACTATAAAGGTCCACTAATATGTTCCTTCCATTTGACAGATATTGCAGCATTGCAGTTAAATATTAGTAGAACAGGGACCAGAGCCCAAGTCTTCTGGCTTCCAGAGAGTTCTGTGTTCTTTCCATGATTTTCTATTGCCTCCTGTTTTATAGTTCTTATAACAAGTTCTGTATTTCCTGTTCTTAATTTTAAAAGCAAAGAAGTAGAACATTTTCTATTTGTTTTATGTGAACAAAATTCTGTTATGTAACTTCAGAGAGTTTATGACTTTGGGTAAAGTTTTGTACATCTCCCAACCCCCGAGTATATATGTGAGGATCCCAAAATAGGGTAGGACCACACTGTGAGCATCTCTCATAGAATTCTCTCTCCTTTTTCTTAAATCTCTAAGAATACAGATTCTGTGGTTGTGCTGATACAGATAATGTCTCATACTCTTCAGGGCTTAATGATTTTTAAAGCACTGCATTGTTCATTGATTAATTCAACAATAATTCATGTTCTGACAAGGCTTGCTATCTTACTTGATCTCTACAGTAGCCCTGTACTCTAGATAGGAATGATACTTTATTTCTGATTTACAAACATGGAAACTACGATCTAGTGGACTGGCTCATGGTTGTGTAGTTAGCTGCAGAGCCAGGAACAGACGTCTACTTCCTAAATCATATACAAAACAATATTTCTAGTTTATTTGGTCATTTCACTTTTTAAAAAAATCAGTCAAATTAATCATTTGTGTTCCATGAAAACAAATAGACTAGAATCTCTGTAAAGGTACATCTTAGAGCTTACCCTAAGAACAAAGTACTACATTAAGTAACCACACTAAGCATCAAGAAACAAATGCCTAATCTCTTACAGCGTTATTAAAAAGTATAATTGGCCTGGTTATTCAACATCATGCAAACCTCCTTAAGTTATTCAACTATTCACCTATTCCAAACATCAAATTTCATATCTATCTATTGCAGAAGTGTGTGCTGTCTTTTAAGACTTGAGGATTACATTTGACCCAACCATTCTTTTATTACATGTACTTTGATTTTCTCTGCTGAAAATGGTTTATATGTTTTTTTTTTTTTCCTTGAATTTGACCATTGCCTGAACCCATATAAAGTGGTAGTGGAAAATATACACGCTTCTCAAAGCTACTCTTTTAAAAACAAGCCAACACAGCTTGTCTAAATTGACTTTGATTTTCTTTGAAGGTTAATAACCGAACTTATCATTTTAGGAATGTGGGGGTTTTCAGTTCTTTAAAATAATAAAACATTAAATGCATTAAGAAAGGAGATCTCAACTCTGCCAGTGAAAATAAGTATACCAGATTTTTAAGATTATTTACTAAAAGATAAACAAAAGTAATTAAAACCCCATTGTGCCAATACTAGCTTTTGGTGATTTCTTTTTATAATTTTCTTGCAGTAGTGCATTCTACAACTGTAGGGTTTTTTCCAAATCATATATGTAAAAAGGCATCTAGTACAGTTTAGCCTAAAAGCACTATATTTCCAATTTTTAATGATCCTCACTTATTTTTAAAACTGGATTATTCTAACATGAAATACACATTGGATAAACACATTTGCAATATTTTTCTTAAGCATTTTAGAGGTTTGTTTCCCATTTTCTTACCTGTCGGAAATTTCCAGCTTTTTTGCTATTCTTTTCATCTTCTGTTGTTTTCTTTCTTCATTTCTATTATTATTATTTTTTAAAGTTTATGACATGTTAGCCTCTTCTCAAAAAGTCATAACATCTCCCATTCTTTCTTGGATTATTTATCCACTAGACAATCTGTAGCTTCATTTCAGACACTGATCCCTGCAGTTGGAATCATTGCACAGAGGAGTGAGCTTTGGAATCCAGTGGGCACTGAAGGCCACTGAAGAGCCGGAAGGGAGGAGTCAGAAATCTCAGCAGCAGTGACATTAGGTGGAGCTGTTTAAAAGATATTTTCAAAATGTCACTTTCAGTCATCTTGTAGAGATGATAATAAGAGTGCATCTTGAAAATCTGTGACATTTTCTGGCATATATATATATACTTTAAAAATTAGCATTGCCAAAATCAGACATTTAACATAAATATTCCTGGAAAATTATTAGTAAACATTAATGATGGTTCTTAGAGCATTTACTGCATTTACTGTTAGTTAAGGGATGGACACATAGAGGGCAACAACACACACTGGGGCCTTTCGGAGGGTAGTAGGTAGGAGCAGGGACAGGATCAGGAAAAATAACTAATGGGTACTAGGCTTAATATCTGGGTGATGAAATAATCGGTACAACAAACCCCCGTGACACCAGTTTACCTGTGTAACCAACCTGCACTTGTACCCCTGAACTTAAAAGTTTAAAAAAAGAGATGGTGCTATTCCAGATTTTGCAGTGATTTATAAGATTAATAAAAACACTTCTAAAATGGAAATTAACCCCAAGTTTCTGGGCAAGTGTGTATTATAAATATAAGATTTTTATCAACTCCTTTGGAGCTGACAGCAGCTGAGCTGCTTATAGACTATAGATGAAAGTGGGGACTAAAAAGCGCTTTTCCTGTATTTGAAAAATTATTATTGTAAGGGGCCTATTTCTCATCATTATAAAAGACTCAAAAAGTAAGATTTATATTAAATATAAGAAATATTTCCTTATAATGAGTGAAGACTTTTGAAAACAAGGTTGTAGAAAATTGAGTGTAGTTGAAAATATTTGTGGCATGGTCTAGTGGATGAGCACACAACATTTTCAAATATTACGTTTCCTAAGCCAAGGACTCAGTGATAGAGCCCCACATTTTAGTACCAAGCCATGTGATTCAATTCTGTTTCCCTACCCAAATACATCCAACTACCCAAAAGAAAGTCAAAATTTCCAGGTAGTCAACAACATTGACATTGTGTATCTGTGTTTTATAGAATCCTGCCGGGTCACTGGCTGTGTGGACTTGCAGGCAGAGTAGGAGCAGGATGTGTACTATGGACGTGAAGCCAATCTCCTCCTCTGTAAGAACTTGAAGAGCAGATACTGTCAAAGCAGTTTAGTGGCTTGTATTTCTTTCCCCAGTCAGCTTTTAGCAGTGTCCCATTACTTATTTACCTGTTTGTATTTAAAATACAGAGAGCAGCAAACTTTGGAAGATTGTAGGGCTATTGAAAAGTACATTTTCCGTACATAGAATATTGGCAAAAGCTAGTGGTGCCACAGATTTGGTGGATGTTAAGAGATCATTTTAGTTATTTGTGATGATGATGAAGATTTTGAGAGTCAGCTTGAGTGGGAGAGAGCTAGGTCTGAATTTGGATTCTTCAGCATTACCTAGCTGGGTGATCTTGAGCTTCTCTCTAACCTTTTTACTTTTAATTTAATTTTATTTTTTGCTATCCAGTTCTGCCCCAAAAGGAGGAAGTAGTAGATCTTCCTTTAATAACTTCCCAAAGTGTTACAAATAAAAAAAAGGAGCCTAAAGCATTGCGGGGGTGGCTGAACGCAGAGCAGGAAAGGATTTACTCCTCTGCTTTCTAAGCTTTTTATTCCTTTCCTGTGAGGTGAATATAGCCACCTATCCTGCAGGATTATTTTGAAGATTAATGATAGAACATAGTAGATATTCAATAGTTAGTAGTTGTTACTGTTGTTGTTATTGTTTAGAATTTCCCTTAGTAGAAACATGTAATTTGAGTTAATAACAGAATTTATTGTTTATTATTCCAAAGAAAGTCTGTAATGAGTGGAAAATTAAGAAATGACAAAACCAGAGTCGTTTTTTAAAAAACTTGTAAGGGGATGTTTGGTGTAAATCTGTGTTCTGAGATGGAAGGTCCACTCTTGTTAACATTTTTGCTCACCTAGGTACACATAGAAAGTTGTTATAATCTGGTGTAAACAAATGATGAGGGGCTAACACAATGTCTATTTATTTATTTTCCTTTTCAAAGACACTGCTTTGTCATCAAGGTTGGGTGTGCTTAGGAACTACGGTATATATATAAATGGAAGCCTACTAATTAATACTTCCGGTTTCTCTGGAATCACCAGGAATACATTAATGCCTTCAAGAAAGATGAAATGGAAAAAAGGAATGTTTAGATGGAAAGACTGAATATTATAAAGGTTTTGCTTCTTCCCAAGTTAAATTGTATTTATAATTCAATTCCAATGAAAATCCCAAGAGGGGTTATAAAAAATTACTTATAAAAGATTTGTAAGTGTAAATAGCTTTGAAAAATGGAATAATTAAAATGAAAAGCATGACTAACAATACCAAATATTTTAAAATATTATAAAGTGTGAATAATTAAATCAACGTAATGCTGGGCCAAGAATTAGCAGACAGATCAAGGAATGGAATAGACAGAAATAGACCCTGGTATATATAACATGTTAATATATGAAAGCAGTGAGGATTGCTTTTTTTTTTTTTTTTTTTTTTTGAGATTGGGTCTCACTCTGTCACTCAGGCTGGAGTGCAATAGCATGATCTTGGCTCACTGCAACCTCCGTCTCCCGGGTTCAAGCAGTTCTCCTGCCTCAGCCTCCCGAGTAGCTGGGACTACAGGTATGTGCTACCATACCCAGCTAATTTTTGTATTTTTTGTAGAGATGGGGTTTTGTCATGCTGCCCAGGCTGGTCTCGAACTCCTGGCCTCAAGTGATCTGCCCGCCTCGGCCTCTCAAAATGCTGGGATTACAGGCGTGAGCCACCATTCCCCGCCAGCAGTAAGGATTTCTGGGGAAGGAATGAATTATTAAGTAAATATTGCCAGAATAGTTAACTAGCTGCTTAGAAAAAATATTAATTTAGTTTTGTAGTGTATACTACAATAAATTCCAGGCAAAAGAATTTGAGAAGACAGACTCAAAAATATTTTAGTAGACAATACAAGAAAATATAGAAAATAGGTGGCTGATGCCTGTAATCCCAGCACTTTGGGAGGCTGAGGAGGGCAGATCACCTGAGGTCCCAAGTTTGAGACCAACCTGACCAACATGGTGAAACTTCGTCTCTACTAAAAATTGCAAATATTAGCCACGTATGGTAGTATGTGCCTATACTACCAGCTACTCGAGAGGCTGAGGCAGGAGAATCACTTGAACCCAGGAGGCGGAGGTTGCAGTGAGCCAAGATCATGCCACTGCACTTTTGGGGTCAAGCGATCCTCCTGCCTCAGCCTCCTGAGTAGCTGGGACTACTGGCATGCACCACCTTGCCTATTTAATTTTAAATTTTTTGTTTATGGAGGGAGGTTCTTGCCATGTTGGCCAGGCTGGTCTCAAACTCTTGGTCTCGAGCAGTCCTCCCAAACTGGTCTCCTGAGGCACTGGCATTGCAGGTGTGAGCCACCTTGCCTGGCCAAATAGAAACTCTTTGAAGGCAAGAAATATGTCTTATCTACTGTTGTGTCTTTAGTGTTACTGCATAGTTTCTGGCACATAGCAAGTCTTTGGTGAATATTTGTTGAATGAATGAATGAATGAATAAGCTTAAAATCAAAAGAAGAAAATACAAGGGGAAAACTTGAGATGCCTATTTAAAAATTTTTTGACTTTCTTGAAAAAACTCAATATGTAAGTTAAGACACAAAAATGGAAGTAATCACAATAAATATGATGCAAAAGACAATATTTTTCTTTATGAAGCATATATATGAATCACCAAGAAAATAGATATTAGTATCTATTAGTATGTATGGACAATTAACAGAAGAGCAAATAAAGACTAACAAATATTTGCAAAAAAAGGTTCTGTTTCACTAGTAGAGAAATAGAAAACAAAACAGCAATGAATTATTTTCATTTATCAGATTATCAAATACTGGAAAAAAGTCATGAATACCTGATACACTGATAATGGAGGGTGAAAAGGGCACTTTATACATTATTGGTGGACATATAATGTAGAATACCTTATTAGAAAAAACTGGTGACAAACATTCAAGGTATTTAAAAAATACTTATTTTCTTGGTTTCCATAGTCTAGTTCTACCCCAAGGAAATATTAGGAAATGCAGATAAAGATTTATAAATAAAGATATTCATCACAATGTTATTAGAGTAGTAAGAAACCAAAGATCAACCTAAACCTCCAACATTAGGGGAATGGTTAAGCAAATTAGAGTATAAGTCTGCATATGACTTATGCAGCCTTTGCAAATGATATTTAGGAATAATAAAATAATATGAGAAATGTTTATGATGTAAAGTTAAATGAAAAATGAATGGTATAAAATCATGGTTCACAGTATCATCTCAAATAGGCAAGGCAGCATACACAATAAGGGAAATATAACAATGTTAATAGTTTAGAGTTAGGATTATGGGTGACTTTCATACTTTATACCATTTTATATTTTTGTAGTTTTAAAAGTTTTTTATAATGAACATATATTACTTCCATAATTGAAAAACAAGTTTTGTTTCTTTTAAAGCATACAGTGTTGGATATAGATCTCTCTGTCCTGTAATCGTTGGTGATAAAACTTAGTGAACAATAGGGTTTTGTTTGCCTTAAGTTAAAATTCTCTGCTTTAATTGCAAAAGTTAATTTATAGGCCAGTAATCTTATACAGCAGGCAGTTTGGTTGATAAAAGTATCCAAAGAAAGAACTGAGTATCTGACTTTTCTTACCTCTCCAGAGCCCTTGTAACATTGATTTCTGCTCTCTCATTATATTGTGTTTTATTTTTAGTTATAAAATATGTTTTATTGCCTTTAATCTGATATACCTTTATAAGCTTGAATTAAGACACGAGATGATTTTCTGAACCCAGGTTTTTACCATATTAGGGAAAGTTAAGATTGAAAAATACAAGTAGTAGGTTCTAAACTCCCAGTCATCCATGTTATAATTAGTCAATTATTGCAGAAACTTGGTAGAGAAAGGTTTCCTGTTTTCTTTTCTCCCCCACTACAGCCATCTTTACTTCTGTCAAGAACTCTTCTGACTTTGTTACCAGCTCTCTCATTATATACATTTTAAAAAGAAAAGCTGTTATCAGTCTGCTCGAATTTTTTTTTTTTCTTAGATTTCAGTAGATCCTGGGTGAAATATTCACTAAAGTTTAGAGTATCACCTTAAGACCTGGGCAACAGGGGCCCCTGCTTTGGATCTTACTTAAAGGATGCATATATCACAAATGTTCAAAATATAAGTGTCATTTAAGATCCAGCACTAAGTGGCATAGTACAATTTGTAATCCAAATGTCCACTGTAGTGACCTAACACCATTCAGGCTCCAGATAACACTGTCCTCCATCTCTTGCCGTGTGCCATTGAAACAAAAAGTGATTCTGTGTGAATGTCATGAAGGTTATGGGCTGTTGATGCTGGTTATGGACACTGCTTTGGAGTATGGGGAGGATTTGAGTGACATAAGTTCTTAGGTGAGGGAAAAGACAAATTAGCACAAACGCAGTAGATTCTTGCACATTGAAGTAACATTTCACAGGGCTGCTGAGCATCCATTTTCTTGTTTCTCTTTGTATTCCAGTATGTGGTTCTGGAGATATAAATTAGGATGATATTTGTAACAGTGGCTCATGGCAGTTGAAGAATATTTTGCAATGTTAA